CCTTATCTGTATTTATTTGGTCCCAATTTACACGTAGAATTAGAAAGTAAGTTTCGGAAGAAATTATGGGGTTATTCGGTCCTCAATTTACATAAAGCCACGAATAGAACTATTCGTCTCCATATTCGACCACTTGAGCTTTCGTTCCAGAACCATCAGCTTTAAGGACGAAAAATCCCGGTAGCATCTGGTGTCCACAGATGACAGCCAACTCGGCCGGTCCGATTCTCCGAAAATCGTTTCATCGCGGTGGCCCGAAGGATTAAAAGGTCCTCTGCGTGGGAACGAAGGTGTCGTGGACGATGTGTTCGCAGGGAGCCCCCCACCCCGCTCCACGGGAGGGGGCGCGGGGCGGCGCGGGAACAAACGCGGCACGACGCCCGTAAAAGTCGATAATCGAGGGGGGGCGCTATCGGGCGCCGCCGCTGCTAACAAGACGTCTCGGCGGGCGGCTCGGCCGGTCCAGGCCCAGGACCAGGCCGGCCCGGCGGTGGCGGCGGTCGAAGAGGCGGCGGTGGTGGAGGCGGAGGCGGTGGCGACTACAGCGGCGGCGGTGGCGGGAGCCAGGGGGTGTCGTTGACGGTGGAAGGGGGCAGGGGAAGGAAGCGGGCCGCCCCCCCGCCGGTCCCCCCCGCCGGGGTCGCCCCCCGCCGCCCCCCGGCCGCCCCCCCCGACCCCCCCCGCCACCCCCGCCGCCCCCGCCGTCCCTCCGCCGTCCCCTCCGCCGGTCCCCTAACCGTCGTCCCTCCGCCGTCCTCCGCCGTCCCTCCGCCGTCCTCCGCCGTCCCTCCGCCGCCCTCCGCCCGTTCCCCTCCGCCGCTCCCTCCGGCCCACTGGTCGCCGCCCCCTTGCCGCCCACCTCAGCCACTGGCCACCACATCTTACCTCCACCGCCCCCTGCCCCCCCTCCCTCGCCCCATCTCCCGCTCCCTCCCCGCCCAATCCCCCTGCTCCCTTCCCCCGCCTCTCGCCCCCGCTTCCTTCCCTGCCCCGGGTGCGTACGGCATCAACATGACTTACCATCGCCTATGCACCAGCGCTCGCGTCTACTTTACCCTTGCCGATCTCCTGTCTCTCGACTTTTTTTTCTTTTTTAATAAATTTGTTTCCACCGTTCGAAAATGCTCCAACTGAACAACCCCCCCTCTGATCTTGTAAACGGTTAATTCTAATGCTCCCCGCCACCCATCCGTCCCCGCTGTAAAGTGAATCAAACACCTACCAGCCATATGCACCGCCTACACCACCGCCGCTTAATAAACCTGTTAATTCAATTATATCATCTTCGACCCGCGCACACCTGCTCTTTACCAGCAACAACTTCGGTTATGAGCAGAGACCAAAATGATAAACAAAACATGCAGTACACTGGGACTGCAATCCCTCCCCCTTGTCTGGAAGCAAGAATTACTCGAAAAAGGCGAACACATCATTTTTCTGCCGTAGAGTCTGTACATCGACAAAGTATCTGTATGCTTCGTGTTAGCATCTTCAAATAATGTGTTCGGCGCCGATAGCTCGTCGTACATCACTTCCCTGTGATCGTCTTTCAATTGAATCGAGATCTCTCGTTTACTATGTGGGACGGTATCTTGCAAAACATTTCTTTCTTTACTTCCAGCCCCGAACGAGGGTTGCCATGAGCGTTTGTTTTCATTATGTCTCGCAACAGCAGCCCAGTACGCGAAGCACCCCAATCCGACTGAAATGTAAACCGATCTGCTCGTACGATGGATTTCAAAGGCTTATACAAACTGTTTCATAAGACGCAGGTGATTTGTAAAAGTTGGCCAGAAAGAACATCAATCACTGGCTAGCCAATTTTATCTGTTTACAATTACTTTTTTCGTTCGCGAACGGGGCTCTCCTTGATGAACGCGATTATACATCTTCGCCACAGACCACTCTTCGGTTGTCCCCACGCAAATAGATGGACCGTTTGTTTTTTGAATCGTCAATTCTGGGTAGACAACTTCGCTATGTGCGATGAAGACGATTCTTTCGGAGAAGCATTCCGGCACCAGGCCCCACAGAGCCCGGAGTTGGAATAGAGTTCATACCTTGTGTCAGAACATCCTAGGATTAGCACCGTGTTAGGCCGGATTTTCTCTATGTAGCTATTCCCAAGGCGTGTGCAATCTCAAAAACTGAATATATAGTTACCTTGAAAGTTAACAAGACATACAGAAAAAAAAGCTCACTCGTACGCGGTCTGAATATGGAGACTTAATAGTTCCCATTCGTTGACTTTATAAATTGAGGACCGAATAAACCCACATAAATGCACAATCATTACTCGTTTCCCGAAAAATTCCCTAGCGTACATTTTTCTTTAAATTCTACGTGATTAAATTTTCATGGTGCATCACACAAAATAAAATACAGATAAGCGAAATATTTATGCTAAAAACATTACAACGATAAATGCGAGCGCTTTGGTCGAGAGACTACGCTAGTGAAAGATATTGCATCCCCTTGGGCATCATCCTGGTTTAACAGACTCTGATACCCTGTAGTATCTGTTATTAGTTTTTGAAGAAAGTATTACATGGTCGAAAAGTCTTGACCAGAGTAGTTATGTCCAAAAATGGGATACAAGCTTAAAAAACTATCAAGACCAAAAGTGATGCCAAAATTGTGATATGTTTACACGTCGTATTTATAGAAAAATCGTAAGCGGCTGAAGTATAGAAGGTATCAGCCAAGAATCATAGTAACTATAGTAGCAAATAAGAATGGCATTCCAATCAACGGAGATGGATTCAATGGAATGCGAAAACCAACCTCTCTTTTAGACGAAACAATTATTGTCTCGGATGGAAACCAATGTCAGCATCAGTAGCATATGCGGTACCAGAATTTGGTAAAGGGATTTATGAGTTGTTAAAAATCAACTCGGCGCGCAACGCAATTATTTCGTAGAAATCTCTCGCAGTGGCATCACTCTTCCTCCATTACTTTGTGACCCTGAGAAGGAGGCAGTGACCGGGCGGAAAGGGTAGTCGGTACTTCGAGACTAGCTTACTCTTCTTTTCTCTGGGTAATAACCTTCAGCCAAATTTTAACAACGGTAAACCATGTATATTTGTTCAAACTTAATTAAAGCGGTAATTAATTGAACGAGACAGCTGAGTAAACACAGAATAGTCTCTCGGGATTTTAATAAACCAATAAAACCAAATAAGAATCTGGTTGCGAAGTACTTTTTAGTGCCAGCACAGAGAACCCTCACCGCGTTTGCTAAAGAAGATAATGAGACGAACTATCAGACTGTTTCTGGGCGTTCTACCGCGCTTGTCAGCCTTTTCCACTAATAACTCTTGTTCATTTGGGATAGTTTTCGCTGCTCATCATACTACAGCTTCACCGTTTAATCCTCCGTCGATCGGTGAGTTCTTAGTCTATGTTTATTTTCTTTCGAGCCTCTCTTTCTCTCAATCTT